GGGGCATTTGCTTAGAAGTCTATGATCTGCATTCTTTCCTTTTTCCAGAATACAGCCAACTGTGAAGCAAGCAAATAACCCCCACAAGGGAGCAAATGCAGTTACGAGAGGGAGGGCTGGGGTCAGGTGCACGTGGAGTGCATCACATCTGAACTCTGTAAACTTGCCATCTGTTCAAGTCCACCAGAACTGCCCAAAGGATTTCTGAAGCACGGGCTGATAATGAATTGCAAATGTAACTCAAACTTTTTGTCTTGTCTCAAAATAGCTAAATTTACCCTTTGAAATCTGCTCAGACTCTGCAAAGAGAAGCCTACCCCACAGCGATGCATGACTCTGGTGGTTGGGAAAGCTATACAGACCTTTTAAGTAATACATATTTTTATTTGGTGTAATCGAGGGTCATCCTGATATCCATCTAGAGGAGAGTACACATAATTTAAGCAGTTGAATAAATAGAAAGTAAGGGCAAGTTAATATAGGACTGGTGAGTTTTGCTTTAGTGTGTGTCATTCTAAATAAAAGTCTTTACTTAAGTGAAATTGAGTATCAACATAAAGTGCATCTAAATGTAATGAAAGACATTGGGTTGCTTGAACTAATATTTAAGGAGCAATATTACATAGTAACAGTTATTAAAGGCCTACCATGTTCCAGAACCTCTATCAGTTTTTCCCAAGCTTTAATGTACATACAAATCATATGGAAATTTTGTTAAAATGCTGACTCTGGCCCTGGCTGGTGTAGCTCAGTGGACTGAGCGTGGCCTGTGAGCCAAAGGGTTGCTGGTTTGATTCCCAGTCAGGGCACATGCCTGGGTTGCGGGCCAGGTCCCCAATAGGGGGCACACGAGAGGTAACCACACATTGATGTTTCTCTCCTTCTCTTTCTCCTTCCCTTCCCCTCTGTCTAAAAATAAATAAAATCTTTAAAAAAAACCCCTGTTAATTAAAAAAAATGCTGACTCTGAGTATTTTGGGGAAAATAGTGGTACATTGAAAGTGTTGTTTCTGCAACTTTCTTGAATCTCCAAGTAAAACAGAGAGAACAGCTAGAAAGTAAAACCAAAAACCGTGGCCAACATTTTCAATAAATTTAGATGACAATGTGTCCCCTCAGACCTCAAAATACAAGCAAGCAAAGACAATCCACAATCACCTGTACAGTATCAGCATCTGTGTGAGAAGCAGCAGAAGGAATCAATGAAGGGGTTAAAGGGCCTAAGAACAGAAGAGCCCCAAATACCAAAACGTACTCACTGAAAAGCACAGTGGACCAATCTAAGGACAGCAGCTGAAACGGGTGGAGGACCTGCCCAATCCAAAGGCTGGGTTAATGCAAGAAAACCCCAGGGTGAGGCCTGAAGGGGCTGGAACAATTCTATATGCAATAATTAGTAGCAGCATGCACCCAAAATAGCACTTGAAATGTGGCAAGTGCACCTGAGGAACCAAATTTTTAAAATATTTAAAAGGAAATGTAAATGCTCTTCTTCCACCATATCATCCCAACAAACTATCCTGCTTTGGGGGAAATCCATAAATTTTTGGAAACCAGTCTGGGTGAATTTCATCCTGCTCTTACCAGCTCTTCCTAATTACTTCTTCCACAACTGAGCTTTACAATATTTGAAGGCAGATCATCTCTTCTCCCTCCCTGGCGGTGGTCCCATGCCCTCCATACCGTAAGAACTCGGCCAATGAAAGATCTGAAGACAGGACCAACACTGGGGAGGAAGGGGGATATGAGATCACAGGGTGGCAGAGGAGAAAGCAAAAGGGAATGAGTTTTTGGGGTTTTTTTGCATCTTTAGATATTCTTGGGGTCACACTCACAGATTCCAAGTGAAACATAAAGTTTGGAAAATGAACATAGGCGGTGTTCGCAGCTGGGGTGTAGGGGGATTGAGTTGGCAGTGAAAACTGTGATCAAAGCCTCCTTCCCTTTCCGATTATTATTTGCTCAGGCACTCCATAAAGGCTGGGTACGGAAACAGTCTCCACTGTTCCACACTTTGACTGAATGGCTGTACTCCAACGGCTTTACTCATCTTTGATAGTCTCCACAGGCTCCTTTAAGAGGGACAGAGCATCAGAGGTAGTAGAGTGTGTGAAGTTAATAGAGGCCTCCCTCTCTCCCTTCTGTAGTCTCCACCAACATCCTCCTCCGGTCTGTTTTGTTTAATCCACCGTTGGCTTTTGGAAAAAGAAAAGAATGCAGATCATAGACTTCTAAGCAAAATACCCCTCTCACTTATTTTTTCCAACTCCCCAAAGGGTTAACAGATTGCAGAAGGGAGATAAGATTATATATGGGCAAACGTTAACAGATGAAAATATAATTAGTATTATATTTAAGCATTATAAATATAATATGTACTGCTATTAGTGCTAGAGCAAAACACCTATCAATTATTCACGAGTTTATCTAATCCTAAGAAAATTTTCCACATAAACAGATGCTACCTACTGAGATTCAGAGAAAAATTCTCAACCCCATCTAATCTAATGTTTCTAAGAGTGTCTCCCAAATATTACTCATCACGCTTATGTATCTGCCACTATAATTAATAGTTCTCTGCTATTCTTCCCATTTTAGGTTTAGCTGTAGGAAATTCATCACCAGATAAGATTTTTTTTTAATTCGGATAAAATCAAGGGAACTTCTAAATTCATAATAAGTGGTTATTGGAGTCAGGATGACAATAAATGGTTAGCTTGTACTTGCTGAATAGCCAGTAATCTCCATAAGGAGAGCTAACCTAAAGTTTTCAAAAAAGATATTAAAATTCTCCTGCATTTTTATATTTGGGAGGTTTTGGCTTTTTAAGTTTTGCCTTAGATATCATTTTGGCAAGCCTGAAATATTAGAGCAATACTGTGTGATATTCCTATAATTCTTTTTTTTTAGTTTATTTTTATCCTTTTTAGAGACAGGGGAAGGGAAAGAGAAAGAGAGAGAGAAAGAAACACCGATGTTAGAGAGAAACATCGACTGACTCTCTTCTGTATGTGCCCTGACCTGGGACTGAACATGCAACCCAGGGATGTGCCCTGACTGGGAATTGAGCTGGTAACCTTTCAGTTTGCAGGATGATGCCCAACCAACTGAGCCACATCAGCCAGGCCTCTTATAATTCTTTACACAATACCAGGAGAAGTTTTCTTTGTTTTTGCTTTTAAAAAGAAGGCACACAACTGGGACAAAAAGACTGTATGCTATACTCTTCCCTCTGTGTGTTCTGGTGCCCAAGTTTCCTAGGAGACACATATCTGATCGGGTAAGGAAATATAGATAAATGTCAGCATGAGCCAGCTTTCTTGCTACGTGTTATCACAAAAGCTTAAATGATCAGCTTCATAAATTAATTTACTCTCAATTCAAATGACATGATATAACATCATTCTGAGATATCATGTCACCTTAAATCATGAAAAAATTTGTATCTATTTTTAAATGTCTATATAATAAAAAATATTAAGTATGAAGAAAGATATAGGTATATAACTCAAATTCAATCCATAGCTCAAGAATGGTTTTCTCAGTCTGGAGAAATGTACCCCAAAAAGAGCAATAAGACAGCCCATGAGGGTCAGGAATCCTATCAGTTTTGATTTTATACCCCAAGGCCTTTACACTGTCACTGGCAAATAGTAGATGCTCAATAAAGCAAAATTTAAAAAAAAAACCCACCTCATTCTTCTAAACATATCTTTGTGTTTTGGTCTATTTTTGATATTGTTGTTGTTATTGTTTTGGAAGGGCTGGGAGAAGGTTGTGATAAAGAAAAAAACTGCAGGTTAGCTGGAAAAGACCATCTGGACAGAAACAAAGTAACAAGGAAAAAAAAACCACTGAAGAACCTAGGAATTGCTAATCACAAGTGTGAACAGAAAAGACAGGGTGGACGGCATCTGCCATCGCCTGACCAAGTCTCGGCAGTGTTCTCTCTCACTCGTGCCTATGTTTCCCTAACCAGAGAACATGTAACATTCTACTTTATGCTCTTTAGAGGAACAAATGGGACGCAATCTTTCTCATGGCTCATCTTTGCAAGCTCAGAACTAATTAAGTTGATTTTCATATAATGACTATTTACTTAATTAACAAGCTCTCAGCCAGTTTGTCCTTTCCACTCTTAACTAGCTCAACATTATGTAAGTTTCCTCTTCAAAGGAAAATAAATTTTCACCAGATAGGATCTATTGCTAAAAATAGACTGCAGTTTCTCTCTCATATGCTTTCTGCACTGAGATTTAAACTGGTTCCATGACAAGGAAGGAGAAATTCCTCTGTAACAAGAGATCAGAGAAATTGAGAAATCTAAGATGCATCTATCATAAAAAACAGAATTTTTTAATTTACAGCATTTTGCTGTGTATCATGTGCACCCACGTTTTTGTGCATATCGTATATGGGATTATTACACCCCTTATTATACCCATGGTATGTAATCATTACACACATGTATAATGTGCACCCTTATTTTTCCCTCAAAAATCTGGGCAAAAAAGTGCACATTATACATGGGAAATATGGTAAGTTTACCCTTAAAGCTAATATCTTTAGTAAAAATTCTTAAAATCAACAATAAGAAAAAATAAAGAAAAACTGAACATTTCTCACAGAGGTAGAAGTTAACTTTAAAATAAAAAAAACAGTGTTTAAGATTATAAATGCTTTTTTAATAGGCCAGAAGAAACCTATTAAAATTTATTGTTTATTATAAATTAAGAACTTCTCCTTGTGGTTCAAGAAGAAAGAAGCCAAACCAACCAATTAATCTAGGAATAAAAGGACTTCTTGAAATCAATTTAATGGAACATATCAAATTCCAAATTTAAAAACCTTCTTTTACTTTGGTCACAAAATGACTCAGATTTCAAAGGGATAAAGTAAATAAATCCAGTAAGTAAATGATCCTCAAACCAAAAGGCGCTGCTCTCTCAGGACAGCAGATGAGTAAGTAAGCCACTTGGAAGAGCCCGCTGCCCACTCACCAGATGTCGGATTTCGTGCCGTAGCCTTGGTGCTTCAGAGCCTCGGGACTCATGTAATGCGGGGTTCCAGTCAAAGTGGTGGCTAAATCACAGGATCCCATTAGGAGTCGAGAAACTCCAAAATCCCCTTGAAATAGTAATTAATTTTTGTGAATATTTTAAAACAATGAAAAGCAGCCCTGGGAATTAACAACTGAGGATCTAACTTGACAATTTTAATATGCAATGATTCATACCATGTTAAAGGGGAACAGAAATATATTTTAAATTACACAATGCTACACAATGCTGGTGAATAGCTTTAAAAACATAAGCCTTGTGGGTGAAGGAAGACTTTGATCCAGTCACGTAAATTATGTAAACCAAACTTTATTTTTGAAATTCTGAAGGACCAGCAACTTGAATTAAAAAGTTATTTCAAGCCTGAATAATAAGAAACAATGTTTTGAAAGGGATGAACATAATGATTTGCAGTTTTATCTGAGGAGAGAGAGTTTATTCTTCATTTACAATAAAGAAAAGTTTTAAGTAAAAGACTTGAGACTTTTCAGGAACATGACTATAAAAATTTGAATCCATCGGCTTCTCTATACTTGCCTAACTGGTTGCATGCTTTTATGCTTTCCCTGTCTAAAAACATCTTGCAGGAAGATTAAACAATCCAGTAACAATTATGAGCAGAGATACAGTCCTGAAGCGGAACAAAAGGTTAACAAAGCCATTATACCAGCATTTTACTTATCTGTGATGATTCCTAATTGCTTGTGATAAAACAAGCAGGGAAATCTGTAGCAACTGACCAAACTAGTAAAACAAGTCTAACCACTCGGAAGTGTCTGCTATGGAGTAGGAACTCAAAAAATACTAGTTGAATCTGCAAAGTATGTAGCAAATATCTCATATGTCAATTTATATCAGATAATCAGAAACAAAAGAATTGCATTTTATTGGCCCTAATCGGATAACAAAAATTCAAGAACTTTAAATAAACAAGTGATTACTCTGATATTCCTAGGTGTCATGTGCTTCAATTTGCTATATTGATAACATCTAAACGGTATACCCTCCCATGTTTCTGGAACACGTATTTTTAAAAATCTTACCAATTTTAAGTAGATTATTTTTCAGAAAAATGTTCTTTGATTTTAAGTCTCGATGAAGTATCTTCCTAGAAAAAGGCAAAAAAAAAGGATATATAATTTAATGCAAAATGTAAAATTTTAAAACCTTAACATATATAATATAGATGGGTATATGTGAAGTAACTCACACATAAATATATTCTTAGAGATATATCTTATATCTATAAGTGCTTGAAAGCTACAAAGCCACATTTTCTTGTTTTTGTAAGGAAGTAAAGTTTTTTTAAAAAAACAGTTTTAATTCAGGAGAACATGTAGTTGAGAAAAAATTGAGATGTTTTCAACTGTTTTAATAGGCCAGATGTTACTGTGTTTTTGTAGCATGATCTACATATACCCAGTAATCATACTCAGTTTTAGACCAATTACCACAAAGCTTTATAACTATTATATATAATCTATTACATATTACACATATGTTACACATATAATCTATTATACATATTATAATCCAAATGTTTAAGTTTTACATATTTGTGGAAATAGTGCTAATGATGAAATTTAATAACATAGCATTTATTAAGTCTTATATTAAGCCAGCAATATAAATTATGTCAGTTAAGACTTTTATATCTGGAATTGTGATAAACTGAACAATTTGAAAATCTTTCCCTAAAAACACCTAAAAGTGTTAAAGAAAGCATACAAATATCTTCACATATGCACAGCTGAGCCCATGAGAAAATAAAGCAAATGCTGAGGATTACATAACAGAAAAACCTACAGGGTTTCGCTTGTCTCGGTAATTGGCTTTAATGGCTTCACAGAAACAACAGCCAAGACATTGAACCCATGTAATATAATGTGGAGAATTGGAACTAATATATATGCATGAAGTCAGAATCCTATCTGTGGTCCACACCTTAAGTAAAAAGAAACCTAAGAAACATTCACTTACAATAAGCAAAATGACAAGAAAGCTTATCCGACAAAACAGCTATGGGAAGGTAAAGTGCAGCATAAGAAACACAGTCAATAACACTGTAACAACCATGTGTGGTGCCAGCTGAGTACTAGAAGTACTGGGGGAACATTCTGTAAAGTATGATTGTGTAATCACTATGCTGCACACCTGAGACGAATATAAAATAATATTGAAAATAAAGTTTAATTGAAAAAAAATTAGAAAAATTTTTAAAGAGAAAGCTTATCTGTACAGTGAAAAAAAATCTTTTAGAGCTTATAATCATATGTCTCTGCACATTTACATTTGGGACTCAACTATTCAATAGCTATATGGCCTCAGAAATTCAAAAGCCAAGAAATTTACATAAAAATTGGTACTCGACCACTAATACCCTCTTGGGGTGTTGGGTGGAAGCAAATGTAAACCAAAAATCAGCAGATACTAAAGTGAAATTACACCCCTGAGAATGTCAGATAATCTAATAGGATTTAAACTATAAAATAACTATATTTTAAATAATTAAAATCATAAAGGAAAATAGAAAACATAAGATAAAAATAGGATACTACACCTCCCCAATGATGCTGATTTGAGAGACAACCAAACAGAACTTCTAAGAGGAAAATGTGAGTATTGAAATTTAAATCTCAAGAATAAAACTTCAGCTTCCAATTATGATGGAGTAAGCTTATATCACACTGAATCTCCCACCTTCTACAGTCATACAGAAAACACTAAAAAATTTAAATGATGTAAAATCTGCATAAAATTTTTTTCTTATAGAGCAACTCTACAGATATCAGAGATCAGCTAATGTAAACCAAGGGAGTCAGCACTTGAGGAGACAGAAGCTGGAGAGAAGGAAAATGCACTGAAGGGCAATGCATTGTTTCCCTCAGTTCACCTGGCATGAGAAGAATGCTATGGCCTAGAGTTTGCAGAGTTTCACTGAGCTTATCAGACAAAAATTTTAGTTCAGGATTACCAAGACAGCCAGGACTTGAGGGACAAATATTCCAGACAAAAGGAAACAAAAGAGAAGTTGAGTCTGACATTCTGCATGGATTTTTCCTCTGAGGCACCTGCTGAATTTTAAACTGTTCAGGGGAAAGACATTAAGGAGAAAGCAGATGGTATGAGGTTACAAAACCAAGTGGAGCCTTCAGTACAGACACAAAGATGAGGAAGGAGGGTCTTAGAAAAGAACTAGAGTCCTCAGTGGGGGCCAACTAAAAACAGACCAGCCCTCACAAAGTGTGAAACCAGCCTTAAACCATCTCAGTTTCTTCTTGGATTGAGGTGATCTGTCCCTCCTGTAAAAACCAGACAGAAAAAATTAAATCCTCCCCAGCAGAAGATAGTATCATCCAGCATCTCTATACTATTTCACATATATTGCCCAGCATTCACTCAGAAACTACCAGACACGCCAAGAGAAAAGACTAGATGGCCCAAAGCCAAAAGAAAAAGAAAGATACATAGATGATCCATCTATTGCAATTTTTAAATTAAGACTTCAAAGTAACTATAATTCATATGTTCAAGAAAATAAATGACACAATGGAGAATTTCACCATAGAACTAGATTCTAAATACATTAAAAAATAATTGAATGGAAATTCTAGAATCAAAACTAATATAATTACTAAAGTTAAGAATTCTATAGATATGTTTGAAAGCAGGCTAGACACAAAGAGAGGATTTAGAAAATGGAATAATGGCTCATGAAAAATATTCAGACTACGATGCACACACACACACACACACACACACACACAGGTTGATAAACAGAAAAGAGTACAAGGGACATCTGAAATGTGGCTTTAAAGTCCTAGCATATGTACAAATAGATCCCTAGAAGGGGTTCACAGAAGTAGAGAAGAGAATGTGAAAGCCAAACACACACCTAATACAGGGATGTCCCGCTCACTTTCACCGGGGGCCACACCAGCTTTGTGGTTGCCTTCAACAGGCCGAATGTAGAGCTCCTCGCCCCTAGTTAAGGAGTAGTTACATTACACAGTCCTAAAATTACATTCAGCCCTTTGAAGGCAACCATTCGGCTGATGTAGCCCCCAGTGAAAATGAGTTTGACAACCCTGAAATAAATACCCTGAAATAAAAGAAGAGATTAGGGAAAAGGCAGAATCCAGAGAGAAAATGATGGGAACTTTCAGAATCTAGAAAGACATGAATTTACAAGTTCAGATCCAAAAGAAATCTCAAGCAGAATTTTAAGAGAATAAAAGCATTCCACAAGTAGACAAAACCTTCTAATACTAGAGAATAACAACTACAAAGAGAAAATACTGAGAATGAGCTGAAATAAAATTACTTTAATTAAAAGGACAATTAGATGGAGCCCAGGCTGGTGTGGCTCAGTGGACTGAGCACCAGCCTGCAAACCAAAGGGATGCTGGTTCAATTCCCAGTCAGGGCACATGCCTGGGATGTGGGCCAGGTCCCTACTTGGGGGCATGCGAGAGGCAACCACACATTGATGTTTCTCTCCCTCCTTTTTCCTCTCTCTAAAAATAAATAAATAAAACATTTTAAAAAATAAATAAAAGGACAATTAGATGAAGACTCACTTCTCAACATTGACAACATAATCCAGAAGTCAGGAAGATAATATTTTCAGTGTTAGACAAAATATCTGTCAATCTGTAACTTTATGCTTAATGAGTATAACTTAAGATTTATTTTGCCAAGAATAAAAATGGCCATAAAAGGAAGGCCTGGGGTGCAGAAAGGAATGGTGAGCCAAGGGGTGAATACCTGTAAGGACTCTAAACAAGGGTCAGCTTAAGAGTAGTAACAATGGTAATGGTAATCATTAGTTTGTGGAATATTAAGAAAATAACAGTAATATAAAAGGAAGGGGAAATGTTTTTGGAGTTAAAGTCTTTGTAATGTTAAAAAGGGTAGATATAGCGATTAACTTAAAACTCCATTTATTCAATTTAATCATTGAAGGGTCAATACTAAAACATTAGGAATAAAATGTATAATTGTTAAACTGGTAGTAGAAAATGGGAATGAAAAACCTGACCAGTCCAAAGAATAAAGGAGAAAAAGGATGTAAGAAAACAAAATAGAAGTACATTCCATATATTGTCACTCACAACACACTAAAATCATCAATTAAAACAGAGAGAAGCAGGACTGATTTATTTTTTTAAAACTGTTCTAAAGAACATACTTAAAACATAAGGACATGGGAAGGTTGAAAGTAAGAGGGTAGGAAAGATATTCTAAACAAGAGGAAGCTAGCAAAAAGCAATATTAGGCAAATTAAAAATAAAAAGTATTACTACATAATAAATCAATAATTTATTGGGAAGATTTTAAAAGTCCATACTTTTGTACAACTATGACACAGGCTTAAATATATGGTGAAAATTAATATTAATAGAAACTTAAGGAGAAACTGACAAATCCACAATCATAGTGGGGAATTTAACATAGTTTCTTCAGTAATAGATTCAGTAGACAAAAAATAATAAGGATATAGGTCTTAGCAACATAGTAATCGATTTGAAAAACAATTAGCTTGAGCTAATCCACATAAATTGAATATTGCATAAAAAAATTAAAAGTCCATGTTCTTTCAGGCACACATAAAATACTGTCAAAAACTGTCCATGAACTAATCCATAAAGTGAGTCTCACTGGATCACAAAGAGTCAGCAGCAGATGGTCCACATACTCTCTGGCCTCAATGAAGTTACATAGAAACCGACAAGGTGCTCAGCACACTGCAGGCAATGGCAATGTCTGATCGAGACAGGCACATTCTCTGTTGTTTAAGTTTTGTTCTGGTAAGGTAAATAGGCAGGAAACAACTAAATGAGCAGCTATATAATCTGATATCAGCTAACAATTAAAACTATTAAAGCAATAAAGCAGAGTAAGGGGCTACAGACTAATCAGGGTAGGGAATGCGGGTTTAGATCAGTGGTCAGAAAAGTCCTTAGAGAAAGTGACCTTAGAGCAGAGATATGAATGAGTCATGGTTGTGATGGCTTTTACTGTTATTTCTCACATTGCTATTGCTGTTATAGCACCAATAAATCAGAAAAGAAAGTCTGTGTGAGGCTAGCCAGCAAGGATGAATGG